CCCAGGGCCGACACCTATAATTGACGAGTGGTGAATACATTTCAATGATAGGTTGTGAAAGTATGAGAACAAAGATAACATACCAAGAAAATCATGCCACATTTCAGAAGCAATAAAATACTCTTCTATTGCTACTGAAGAAAGTGCTTTTGAGTCAGTCGATGCTTGTGCGTAGTTATATGCGGCAGTTCTGGATGAGTGGCCTGCCTGCAGGTCCACTGTATAATTTGAGCCATGATGAGCCAGCAAATGTTGGATGTGTTATCTTGAAAATGCGACTGATACATGGCGGTAATCTTGAAAACTCAGATGAGAAGGAAGGAGTTGATGCCAGCGGGCTTGAAAATATGTGCGGAGAAGGTCGGCTGACATTTTTACGCCATTGCACACAAAGAAGTATGCCATTGTATCAAGCATTTTTTGGTCGGAATTTGAGCATTCATAAATGAAGAGGCTAGTGAAATAAATAGAGTTAGACATTGCATGGTAGACTTTTAAAATGTAAATACCTTTCTATGGGACGGATGAAGGTGATATAGTTAAGAAACAAGCGGACAAGAGAGTGAGGAATGAAACGGGCAATTGCTTGGTCGCGTTGCTTGATATTTCGTGTTTTCTGATATGTGGTTAGAAGCATCAATGTCTGATGTTCGTTTGACCAATACAGGTTGCGTGTTGCGTGTGTTGTGTTTTGTAATAAAGTGCCTTCTAGCTCTGTGGCCCGAGCTGTTTGGCCGTATGTGAGGTGCATTAGCATGAACAAATCGCGTTGGATTTGTTCAGCTGTGGTGATGTAATTTTTAATGGTGGACAGATTGTAAGTTGTATTGTTGTTATTGGTTATATATTGAATATAAGTACGTGATAGGTGTGGGGTCGTGTGTATGTGCTGGAGAATATGACTGAATTGGTGACGGAGGTTGTTCTTTGGGTCGGTGAAAAATGAATAATTGATGTCGCGATTGTTGAAATCGTTGTATAGGTGGATTGGTTTATTGTTGCGGAATTGAAGGAGATTGTCGAGGTTGATGTTAAAGGTGAGTTTGTTGATGTTTTGCTGTATACTGGTTTTTAAGTTGGTGACTAGGAGACGCAAATCATGTACATGAATGCGCTCGTTCGTTTCGACCATAGCAAGTGACAGATGGTTTGTGTGTGGTGTCCATATTATTTTGTCAGTGACAAACTCTGACGAGTCAGAGATTGACGCAATCCGGCTGTATTCGGCAATAGCAGCATATGCAGACGACTTGCCATCGATCAAGTAATCTTGGTAATTTGTGGTAAAGCTAAAAAAGAGTTTGTTATGCAAGTGTGGAAGGTTTAATGTAGAATGGAAAAAGCAAAGAACTTACACTGTAATTAAGTTTTGATTTGTATGGCGTGTGTAAATATCGTTAAGTAAAAGTAAGCGGAACCAGTACTTGACTTGGGAGATTAAAGGTGCAATAGAGGTTACGTCTTTAAATTGCCCATTAAACTGCAAGGATGAAGCAATGATGAAACGAGCAATAGTATATCCATTGGTTGCGACATCAAAACGTTTTTCTTCTTTCAATAATGCTATCCACAATTTACAGATTTCTGATTCAATCTGTGCGGCGGTGTGTGATGACAATTGGGCTGGATTGACATTTGCGGACAGTGTTGCGATATTGGTGAGTATGGTAGAAATAGTGGAAGACCAGGTACCCAAAACAAAAGACCAGTGAGGAGAACGACGGATGCGAAGTAAGAAGGTTAATAGATTGGCGCCAGTTTGGGTATACCATTGGATAGTGGGCCGCTCAAGTTGGTTGAATCTATGATCAGGGAGTGGTTCGGAGAGCCTAAAGAAAGCAAATAAGTTAGAGTGGATGACTGAAACAAAGTAGATAGTTGCGACACTTACGTTTTCTGTTTAAGATAACGACGAAGGGTTTAGTCGTTTTCGTGAATAGAGTTGTGCAAGCGGACAAAAAGCTGCTTATTAACTTTTGCTACAACTTTTAGCACATTTTCCTCTGCATGGATTTTCTTTGTTAAATCATAGATAGTGATAGGGATGTTTCTTGATGTGCGATTAGGATGTTGTTGTTGGTGTTGGTTGTGTGCTAGAAAGAGAATAGTGAGCAAGTTGACAATGCTATAAATGTAGAATAGCTATCAAAGTAAAAAAAAGTACCTGTTTTCCACTGTTCGACAATGTCATACCACTTTGTGTGAACAAAAAACCATGGGATCAGCTTACGGTCGGTATCAACGTTTGACGTTTGGCCAAAGGCAGGTTCCAGACGAGTAAAAGCATTGGTAATGATTGCATGATTGCTTAATAATGAAACATCTGGTGCAGGTACAGTGACAGTTGGTTGCTCAGTTGGTGCAGCTACTGGCAAATCACAATTTTTACAGTGGCGCTGTATAACTTCAAAGTTGGTAGACTTGAAGCCACAACGGCAATGCACATAGTGCTTAGCATCAACAAGAAGTGTAGTTACTTTTCCTATAAAGTGATTAGTATTTCAATGCAATATAAATGGTAGATGGTATAGGAAAGATACACACCATGATCGTTTGGATATTTAACATTAACTTTTTTCTGGTGTGTTTTGCGAATATGTCGCTTACGAGCAGATTTTGAAGAAAAATATAAAATGCATTCATCGATACCGCAAAGAATACCAGAATGCTGTGTGGGTTGCGATGTACCCAGGTCTGTACTGTCGCTTTCACTACCGCTGTTGTTGCTAGATTCACTCTCTGAACCACTAGATGTTGAGGAATGTACTGAACAACTAGGGTTATAGTCACTGCCGCTATCGGGTATGTTTGCATCAATAATTTTTTGGTGTAGACGGTGGGTAAATGACGATGTTGATGAAGGCAGAGCTGATTGGTGATGAGATGCCTGGGCAGAAAGTGGTGTAGATGAGATGGTAGGAGCTGGACGTCTTTTGAAGACTATAAAGATGTAAGAAATTAGAGATTGTAAAAGAGTAAACTGACTATGGATACATACTTTTGCTTGGAGTTGTAGTTTTGCAATTATCTGAAGTATTTTGAAAGTTTGACGATTGAATTATTTTCAGTAAGTAGAAAATGACAGTGTGAATACTTTTATAAGTTTACCTTGGCTGATATCTGAACACTCTAAAATTGCAATTGAAGACTTTTGGGTTGATTGCAATACCGGTTGCTGTGTATGTACAGCACTGGGCTGAGCCCGGAACTTTCCTTTTTCCAAGGCTGAGCGACGAGGAGCGACTAGTGGCTGGTTTGTATGTGTACTAGAGATACTAGAACGAGCATTTCCTACTAGAGAGCTTGATCCTACAACCTTTCTTTTTTTCAATAAAGGAGGGGAAGCAGCCTTTGGAGCTAAAAAAAGAAGTGCATTTTCATTTTCAGAGAATCAGATGTAAATAGGAAAGAAAAATGAGAGAGGAATGATATTTACGAGTAGCAGCCTCTTGGGAATCGTCCTAGCTAAAATCCGAAGGAAGACTTTCCAAGGAGTTTCTACGTTCCGGACGAGGTGAACGATTACCCTGACGCACAGGGGGCAAAGCAATAGCTAGAGAAGTCAACAAGGGAGATGATTGGGCAGCAGGCAAAGCAGGGAAAGGCTCTTGCTGCGGCAGCGAAGGCGAAGGCAAAACCGAGTTTTCAACAGGCAACTGGCTATTACCAGTGACGGACGACTTGGCAAACGAAGCCTACGAGCGGACCTTGGAAGTGTAAGAGCTAGAGTTGTTGGCAGACATATTTGAATTTTAAAAAAAAAGGGGTTTTTGAAAAAGCTATTGTTAAATGATTAGTATAAGTATTTACATCGGAATCACGTAAAAAAAGAAAAGGAAAAAGATGATTTTCAAATAATGGCTAAAGAGTGAAAATGTAACTGAATGGCAGAAATGGAAAGAGAGGGGGAAAATCCACCTAAATGACCCAAAAGGAAAGAAGGGAGAAAAATCTACCAAAAGAACAGAAAAGGAAAAAGAGGGAAAACTCTACCCAAGTGACTGAAAAGGAAAGCAAGGAGAAAAATACACCAACATGACTAAAAAGGAAAAAAGGAGAAAAATCTACCAAAGTGACTAAACAAGAAAGAAAGGAGAAAAATCTACCAAAATGACTAAATAGGAAAGAAGGGAGAAAAAACCCACTAAAAAGACAGAAAAGGAACTAGGACTTTTATATAGTAAAGAGCAGCTGTGCACTTACATTTTAGTAACTAAAAGTTGGGGGAAGGAGAAAAGTGTTTCAAACGTTGGCTCTTTATATACTTTTTTCTGGCTTTGGAAAACGGAGCTTTAAAGAGATGGTGACTGGTTTTGATAGATTCCAGAAGGTTCTACAGTATCTTAGGAATTTTTATCAAAAGGCTATTGTTAGGTATATTTTTTGTTAAGACATGTTTTTTATATAAGACATTGATGATTTTATTTAGTGGAAAAAGATAAGAAAGTTATGATGAAAAGGGAGAGAGAGACAAAATGTATTTTCTAATGACCAAAAGTATGATAAAAATGGCCATAGGCACGTTCTTGACTCTTAGCTTCAGCTATCATATTTACTAATAACTGAATATGATGTAGGAAGAAGCCAATATTCTCAAACGGTGTCAAGTAGTTCATTGTAGGAATTATAGGTGTAATCAAAGGATGCAAAGGAGAAAAGTCATTTTCCTCCAAATAAGCCCAGTTATCCGAGGAGAACTAAAGAAAGTATGTTAGCAGGCTGTTCAATATTTTATTAATTTTCTTATTTTTAATTTATTTTATATATTTAGTTATTAAGTTTTATTTTTAAATAATAGATAATGATCATTATAATTAGGGGTGGTGAGAGAAAATCTTTGATTTTTGATGACGTGGGTAGCTGGTCATTGAGACAGTAGTTGAAACCTTAGAATAACGGTAGTTATTCCAAACATTTGTCTACAAATGCCTTATAAACAGTGTTCTTAGTAAAAAAGCAGGGTGAGAAAGAAAAAGGTTACGTACGGAGAGGAAGAAAGGCTAGTTAAACTTGTCTGAAAAGAGGATTGGCCAGGCGCCAGCTTGCTTGTAGAAAGCCAGCATACGATAACCGACAGTTATTGTATGGCTAGGCTTGGCAGATCTTGGCAATCCAACTAGAAAAAGAGGAATTAGCAATAATTTGTGTAAGTTTGTATTTGGGAAGTACCTTTAGCCAATTTATTCAGTTCTCTCTTATAGCCAAGTTGATTTAGATTACCGCCATTCTTGTAGTAGAGGTAAGCACACAAGATGGCACGGACGGACTTTATCAATTTTTGGTCTAAGGCTTCGAACGGTGTTCCGCTGATTGCATGGTTGATGATTTGCTCTGGTCACTGTTCGTTGTAGTTATGGATGTAACTAAAAAAGTTGACGCCTTCTATATCTTGGTCTAGGTGAATACAACAAGCTGATGCAGTAGCAACTGTAGTGGTATTCAGCTCAAGGATGACTGAAGTGAGAGGAGCACCATGTCTAGGGGTAGCCAAAGTATGGAACTTCTTGTAGACTATACTTAGATGAAGGAATATTAATAGACTGAGAAATAATGGGATAAAGAAAGGTTACCTTTAGCTAGTTGGTTACTTGTGGACCAAAAATTGCGGTAGAAGGGGTCTTCACGCATTGCTGCTTCCTAGGGTTGGAGTTCCTCAACGTTGGAGCTATATATTATTTAATTTTAGTAAGGAAATGATCATTTTAAGTATTAAAAATGCTTACGCTTCATCTTCAGTAGGAGTCAAGTAGACGACTTCTTCTTCGACATCTTCTTCTTCGACATCTTCTTGTTCTTGTTGTTGTTGCTGTTGCTGTTGGACCAGAGCTTCACAATCAGCCTCCAATTGCATCAGATCGTCCAGATCAGCCAAGTAACCTCTAAGGGTCTTCTTGGTAGTTTCAATAGGGACTAATATAACTATGTAAGTTTGTGATGATTTTGTAGTTAGCAGTTAGTAGTACTTACCACGATCCATTGCCTCTAAAATGGCTTCTAAGGTGGGCTTGAGAGTGGCATTGGGGACTAGTGAATGGGATATTAGTTTTAATGGTTCATATTTTGTTCAAGTTATAAGTAAACCTACCATTGACGGTGACTTTGTGGAGAGTGGTGAAGAGCTGGCAGTCGATAGGCATTTTGAAAGAGCTATTAAAGAGGATTAAGATAATGTAGAGGATTAAGATGATTTAGAGGTGAAAACATTAGTAAAAAAAGTGTAAAATGGAAATAGCATGTCAAGGAGCATGTTTAGAAAGGGGGTAAAGATGGCAATGAATAGAGCGAAAAAAATGAGCAAAGAAAGCTTAGTAGCCCAAGGTTGCTTTATATGGAAGAAGAGGAGAAAAAAGGACTGAAATGACTAATATGGAAGAAGAGGGGAAAAAAGTATCAAGTATCTAAATATGGAAGAAGAGTGGAAAAATCTCCCAACACCCAAATATGGAAGAAGAGGGGAAAAAAGTACCAGCTATCCAAATATGGAAGAAGAGGGGAAAAATCTCCCAACCACCCAAAAAAGGAAATAACTTACCTTAAGTGAGAAAAGTGAGAGAAAGAGGGAAGAAAGATGAAACAGCAGTATTTATATATTTATTACCTAAAAATGACGTCAAAAAAAACCGTCACAAAAAAACCGTCACAAAAAACCGTCACAAAAAAAACAAACGTCACAAAAAAAAATAAAACGTCACAAAAAAAAGACGTCACATTACCATTACGAAATTTCTATGTGATTTTTCGAGGATAGTTTTTAAGAAAAACTATCTGTTAGGGCCTAGAATCATTTTCGGTATGGCAACCTGGTCGCCACGACGAAAATAATGACAACGATGACAACGAAAATTTATTTCAAGTAGCGACCGATGACAACGGAATGACAACGGGATTTAGCTAATGTAATTGGTGGAAAATGGGCGAATTTACTAGGGAATAGCAAAGGGTGCTCTACTTTTTCTTTTTCTCTACCACAAAAAAAAATACTTTACCATATTCTTTTTTTAATGTAAAAGTGAAGACGGTTTCAAAAAAAAGGTAACATATTTTATGACGACCTCGCTGGAGAACATTCAGGCATTGGGGAGGGAGGCTATGTTTTAATTAGTAGATGGAGCAGAATTATGCTGACGGATTTTGTTTCTATGGGAAATGGACTCGCTCCAACGATTACTGTTTAAATCTGGTGTAAATCTACAAGGAAAAGAGGTAAAGGCCAGCCTTCTTTTCACTCATGAACATTCTTACGGCCTAGTGCCTCTTTTTTTTTGTTTTTTATCTATTGATTTCCTGTACAATGTATAGCCAAGATGGACAATAGTGGTGCTATTTTATATACAGCAACATATATGAGCAGCAATAACCACACAAAGCGACAACGGTCTCACGATCTACTGATTCAAATTGTACATAACAACCACTAATCGAACATGCAGCATCTTCCGAACACGACGATTGTTGTAGCATGTCTCTGCGATGATTTTGGAAGGAGTAACAGTAGGAACGGTGGTGGATATTGTTATACACCAGCAGCAAAAATAGCAGTAACAATCACGAAGACGACGACGGTCTCATGATACACTGATTCGAATTACACACAACGACTACTAATCGAACGTGCAACGTCTCCTGAACACAACGATTGTTGTCGCGTGTCTCTGCGATAGGCTAATGAGCAATATAGGTACCCCCCCTCTAATTATAGATAGAGTCATCCATCGGACCTCAAATTTTACCTATATCTAGTTCAGTATCTGAATTTTTATATCTCTAATTTTCTAAGCCACAGCACAGAAATTGCAAGAGAACCAGCCATTGAAGCTAAGAGGTTAGTTTTTGTGAAAGTTCACATTTTTAAAATTTTGAAGTTTTATATAATTAGGTATAATAGCTACAGAAACATACTACTAAAAGCTATATCATAGCGAGATGTGTTGAGCTCAGAGAAATACTAGAAGATAAGTAATCGTTACTATGATATCTAAGGGATAAGGGTATATTTGATCGAAATTTCAATTAGAGAAAGATATAAAGCTCAAGAGTTATCAGTAGTAAGTTCATTTAAAGTGACTAATAATAATTGCATTTTATAAAAGAACCTTGTTACATGGGAAAAAGAAACCTTGTTACATCGGAAAAATAAACCTTGTTATATGGGAAAAAGAAACCTTGTTATATGGGAAAAAGGATGACATATACGGGAATGTAGATGACAAATATAAATCTGTGTGAGAAGAATGCAATTCCCTTATTCCGGCCCGGAAATAAGAGTTGGGTGTTCCCCCCATAATTTTTTTGGGATTTCAAGGTCAGCCACTAGAGGCACTGTGCTAGGCAGCAATGTAGTATTTCAGAGAGGGAAAATTTCACCAAGTGCATGTGCTTCTTATATAAAAAGTTTTTTTTCTCTTAAGTTCATCTCCAAGCATTCTTCAAGCTCTAGCTACAACAACCCTTTCCAAATTGAGGATTTGCACAAAAGGATCAACTTGGTGACGGATTCTTATGGTAAATGTCTCAGATGGAGGAAGGAAAAAGACAGAGAAAGTTTTTTTTCTTTACTTTGTATAACATGGCAGTAACAGCGTGATTGATAGTTGCTTTTTCTACACTTTACAGAACAGGTTCATCGTCACTGCACACCCATTCGCAAGGCATTTGACAGTAGCAGCATTATTAGCATCTGTCCACAGCTCATTTACATATGAAATCAGGATTATTGACTTGGTACAAAATGGAACAAGCTTTTTTTCTCTTTGCATATGTATAGCCCTGTAAACAAAAAGTAACAATCGTTTGTTAATATATTTCCCGTCTATAGGACATACAGTCGAGGCATCACAGGTCATGGCATTACTGATGGATCCTTTGAACTCATTCACTGCAACGGCTCAAGACTAATAACTTAGTGAAATGGAAGAGGTAAGGGTTATTCTTTTCTTTATGCTTTGCAAGGCGCTGCAAAAATAACCAACACCGTTCTTGCTTATCTTCAACTAGTCCTACCAACTATTCAGTACATGGAGCATGCACAACTACTGCTAGCAGCACAGTTTGGACTCATTATGGTAAAATGGTTAAAGTGTTAAGGAGGGGGGGGTGACTCTTAGTTTTATGTTTTTGGTAAAATTATAAATATGTAAAAAATTATAAGTAATATAATTTTTAAGTATTTAAGCGGTCCCTGCCTCGCTTCGCTCGGCTGAATGAGCCCCTCCGCTTCGCTCCGTGTCATTCAACGGGAACGCGTCGCAAGGGGTTCCCCCCTTGACCCCCAGGTTGGGGGGCAAGCCCCCCAAACCCCCCTCTCGTTGCTTATTCATGGCTGAATCAGTGATCTTGAAGTATTCAAGCCTAAACAACTTCGCTTTGCATATTACTAAACCCTAACTGCTAAAGCACCCGAAACCCTACATTACTCTAATGTGTTATGTGTTATCAATTGTAAGTATAAGTACATAATATATGTTCGGTATGAGTGTAAAAGAAGAGAAATCTAAGTATTGAAATGGGATTAAAAAAATAAATTAGAGTAGAGTGAAGTCAATGGAAAAATGGAAAAGAGAACTATATGAAGCAACGGAAAGAGGGACAGTATATCAATAGTAATGGATAGAGAAAAGCATAAATGCTCGTATATGAGTTATAGAAGAACTTCATTATATACAACATTTCTTGTATTGAGCCCAGGTTGATCAGGTGAAGTAGAGTTTTCTGGATCGACCATAATGTGGATGGCAGATGGTCTACGGACCCGAGACATTGCTACATATAGGAGGCCATGTGTAAATGGCGGCTCTGGTAGGTAGAGACCAACGCTGTCAAAAGTTTGACCTTGGGCTTTGTTGATTGTCATTGAGAATGCCAATCGAACAGGGAACTGCGTTCTTTTGAATTGTATTGGGCAGCGGGCTTGCGACGGTGTGAGGGTGATGCGCGGAATTAGAACAATTGTGCCAGTTTGTGGTCCAGTGGCAATCTCGGCTTCAAGGACATATCGGCGGACAGAGCGAACAATCAATCGAGTACTATTGCAGAGACCATTTCCAGTATGCAAGTTTCGTAGCAACATCACTGGGCAGCCAACTTTAAGCTTGAGGCAATGTGGTGGAAGGTCGGATGGATCAAGGGAATTGAGGAGTTCAGGAGGGTAAGCAATTTGGTCCTCTGGATCGTCGACCGAGTCAGCACTTTTTACCTCCTCAAGGTATTCACCTGGAAACTGATCGAGAACCCGCTCGTTCAGAACAGCAACATCCTTGTTTTTAGGTGTCAAAATTGCACGACTGGTTAGAAAATCACGGTCCACATTTGGTGAGTTCAGATCACCGAACACAACGTCAATGAGCTCGTTAGTGTTGTAACGCGACATCAGCATTTGGCGAGGAATTAAGACTCTATCTTCTGTATTTGGAACTAATGGCTCAGCACCATCACCAATTCGAAGTAGGTATTCGGCAAATTCGCGTAGCTCTGTAGCATCAGCTGTATGAGCAGCTTGCTGAACACGCATATTATTGCGTAAGTGGTGGACTGTAACATAGCGCCAAATCGCAGTAGCTCTGTTCAAGCATTGCTCGACAATTTGCGGGCGCTCAGCATTCGGAATTACAGGAAGGACCTATTCAAAACATAAGACAATATTAAACCGTATGCCGATGTGCTCCCATTGTTAACTCTGACCACCCCAAACCTTAGTGCTAAATTAAGGTCATACCTGACGAAAATCACTGCCAAACACAACAACTTTACCGCCAAAAGGGACATCAGCAAGGGCAGGATCCTCAGTGCGCATGGTATCTTGTATGCTCCGGTTCACAGTTTCGATGAGGTCGCGGCTTATCATGGACGCTTCATCCCAAATAATGATACGCGCCATTTTAATTAATCTTGCTGTGTCAGATCGAGGTGTAAAACTGCACATAGACGTTCGATTCACCTCCAATGGAATCTTGAAGGTTGAGTGAGCCGTACGTCCTCCATCCAACAAAAGAGCTGCTGTACCACTTGTGGCCACTGCAAGGGCGATACCATCAGCGCGCCGGACATTTTCAAGTATAGCATTGAAAAGATATGTCTTTCTAGTTCCTCCAGGGCCGTCAACAAAGTGCAGTTTGGGCTCGTTTTGGGGAGCATCGAGAGA